CTGACACACATGGCACGATTCTGCAATTTAAGTTTTCATATAACGTGCTTTTAAATACCCTGTAACTTCATTCGGAAACGAAATGTGAACGATTGAGAATAGTTTTTTGTGAACGTAATTTTACATCTACACGACCCTTCTTTCACATGCACTTTGTGGATTCTAGCACTTCTCACATTCAATTCGTTCCCTTGCATCCATCATCCGTGAAGGTCTTTCAACTTTTTTAAGTGGGTTTCGCTGCTACTTGAGGATTTCCCTTTCCCCGTGAATGTTGTGGATGCTGGTCGAGTTGATTCTCCCTAGAGTCCTGGAATAGCCGAGATAGACCGATTCCACTTAGATTGCAGAGAGTGATTTTTTCCTGGACGAGTCTTGTGTCATTTTTCTGACCTCTAAGGAGAGATTTGATGAGCGCGGAGCAGGGTCGAACCAGCATCCTGCTCGTGGTGGTAGGCATCACTTGACACTGGACACTTGAACGGCCCGTACTCACTTGTTGTGCGGGCCCTAGCATAATCACCATTAGTCGGAGACTTGCTGATTAAGCTATTGTGGTTTCCTGGAATTCCGAAGTCAGCTTGGCCAAACTCTGCCCCAGGTCTTCACCACCACAGGCAGACGCAGCCATTGTGGAACAGAGAGAATCTTTCGAAACCGATTTTCCTTGAACCTCGGTATCACTAATCAACATGTATTCTTTCTTTGGTGAGCTTACACGAGGTTGATAATGATATTTATTTTCGGCTAACGTTTCGACGTCTTCGTCTTCCTCAGAGCCGATGATCCGAGTCGATGGTCCATGCTTGTTGTTCGTCTCGACGTTGCAGCTTCGCCTTCGTGTATTCATCAACTCGGATCATCGGCTCTGAGGAAGACGAAGACGTCGAAACGTTAGCCGAAAATAAATAAATATCATTATCAACCTCGTGTAAGCTCATCAGAGAAAGAATACATAGAGAGAGAATCGCCACCACGCGACTTTGATACCAGGACGGTGGTGGGTCCTGGTATTGGTTTACTCTTAGCTAGGCTTCCTGGTGAAACGCCGGACTCCTTCTCAGCTTGGGTGAGAGGACGCCCTGCCGAGAGGACGAATCCCGCTGTACATCGCAGTCCGACACACAGGAACACCGCCCAGCTACGACGAGGTGGTAAACCGTTGGGAGGATGGTAGGCATCACTACTATGAAAATAGTAAACATATGAATTTCTAACGATCGAAGAGTAAACGCCTTGGAGTTGATGAACGACGATTTGTGTCCTCTCTCATTGAGGAGAGCAGTAACATGAAATTGAAGCGTGTGACCTCTAGAAGCTAAGGAATATCGTTGCTTGACAAAGATTTCTTGTGAAAATTATCAGTAGCAAAAAGCACGTTTTTTTGTTGTTGTTTTTGTTGAATGCAGTGTGAATCCTCTCGAAGGCATAGACCGTGTGATCCACTTTGCGAAATTTGATGAGACTTCTGGTGAAAATTGGACAGGTTTTTGCTGAAGTCCTGCAAAACACATCGCAACAATACGATCTCGAAGATCTCTTGTCTAGATAAGGCGATGGTTCGGGCGCTCTGTCGTTTAATAAATTGGGTATTTATTCTAGGTGGGTTTTCCAGTCTTGGGGAATTTTAGAGATTGCAACTCAACTTACAATCAGGCTACAGACGGAATCCTTAGTTCATTTCAAGTTTTTTGGACTAACGTAGGATAGGAATTTCAGTCATCAGATTAGAAGCTTCTATAATTAATGATATGCTAGGGCAGTGTTCATGCTTGCTGACTTAAAATAGCACAGGAGAGCTAAATTTATCTCTGCCCACGCAACTGTAACTTGTTTTGACAGCATGAATTCATACATCTCTAACTTATCATGTACTTCGAACAACAAGATTCATCAATGATTACATTCTATGCTCTTTATTACGTGGTTCTTATGTCACATCGGTCAGGAATCCATTTCATACCACCGATATATTACAAATCGTAAGGCCACCCTCTTTAATTTTATATGGCCAGTGTAAATAAAGTATAAATCTTCCCGATGACTTCAAATTGGAACCAGTAGCTCTCCATCCTCTTTCGCAGAACAAATATTCATCAGACTCCATACTGTAATCTTCTTGTAGCTCAGTACGAGTTCACTTAACCCTTCCTGCACTTAGGGACGCATCACAGAACTTCGCGACGACCAACCGGTTCTACGCCCCTGTCGTGAACAAAATTTGTGGTGTCTCGAAGTTTTCTTTTAAAGAAAATTACATGGGTGATAACATATCCTCCCAACGGTTTACCGCCTCATCGTGGCTGGGTGTTCCTGGGTGTCGGACTGCGATGTATAGCGGGGGATTTATCGTCAAAAAACGAAGATTATACTCGGGTCCGCACAACTAGCGATGACTGGCGGTTCAACTATCAACTAGGATAACATATCGCAGTGTTTGAAACATCTAGGATCCCATCGGTTGTTAACATCATACATAGTACATCCTTCCGAATTTTTTTTTCTTATTTTATTTTACGTTTCTATGTTCTACCGTGATCAATAAGATGCATTTTCAGATGGTATCTGATGAGCGCAAGGCTACTGTACTTCAATGGTTTAAAATTTGAATATTGTTTATTCCGTAATTTTCTACACCACACTGGCTTTCTCTGTATTGACTTTTCTTATATAATCCGAAGAGGAAATCGTGGTCTTTGACGTTATATAAATGTATGGGGAAGTTGCTCGTAGAAGCATACAGATTTCTTCGAGGTCTTTTACGAAATACTCCTATTTGAATGGTGATTGGCCTTGGTTAATTCTCCCTTGGCAAATGCTGGATGCTCACATCAGGTCGTTATCTATGGCAATGGGTTTTTTCTTACCCTGGAATTCCTCACGAGTTCGTATTCTTTGCTCCGAATTTGTTGTTTTTTAGGCATTCATATAGTGGAAGAACTGGAGTGCACAGACCTCCATATTACCACTGAACAGTCTAATCATGTGATTGCACTACTAGTTCGCAAGTAGTAGGTTTCTTAGAACATTCAGGACTACATCTGTTTTTATGGCGGGAACGTGTGATTACGTCTAATTCTTCGCAGTGCGCGTTGAGTGCTAAACTCATCTCAGACGATCCATTGTGTTCCATTCCAACCACCTTAACAAAGAAGATTTCATCTTGTACTTTTGTTTGTGTTTTCCGTTGAATCCGGTTTTTCAGGTTCTTTTTCACTTATTTCAGTGCCATTTCATATTCTGCATGCACTCTAATGGACTCATTTAGCGAAGTGGTTTGAGGTATTTTGCGATAAATGTGGTCGTTGGTTCAGCTAATGGTGTAACCAAGCCCTCTATTTCTACAGGATCGCGGAATTGCTGTTAGAATCACCTGGGAGGATGAGAAAGTGACTTAGTAGATCGGGATGAAATCGGAAGTCATTATATATTGCAAATATGCATTCGTGATGCCTATAGGAGGTGAATATATAGCACTTCCGTAAGGATTGGATCACGGCCAATCGCCTTATTATTTTTAGTTTGCGTATCATATCTGTCGTATACGTGTCTGTATTCTATGTGACCTTCAGCGTGTTTGGAAGTTATCCAACTCTTAGATGTGATGAAAAAAGTCTTGCTCACAATCAAACAAGGTTGCTGTCGCCTTTATGCTTATCATTCCTGTTGTATGTTAAGTCCGGGGCAGACTTTTGTCAGGTTAACCTCGGGGTTCCAGCGAACCACAATTTCTTAGCCAGCAAATCTCCGAAGAATGACTCTGCTGGAGCCCGAACAACCAGTGAGGACGGGTCTTTCAAGTATCAAGTTGTATTTTAAGTAAATCTTAGTACTTTGCATATTTTCTGTTCTCATCTATATCTGACTACTGTAGAGTTGAGAATTCCGATGATATACTACTATGTGGGAATGCATTAATGCATTGATGAGCACACATTCTCTGTAGCTGCGCCGCTATCTCCGTGCACTCTCCTCGACGGGAGCAGTATTTCGCCAAGCGGATAAACTCGTCCAAAAATCGTTCTTCTTTTCGTTTTGCCGTTATTATGCCTTGAATGCAGTCTCCCTCGGAACATTTCTGATGCAACATGTGTAGTCGAGAATCTGTTTGTCGAACACAAAGAGTTTAGCGAACAGAAAAACTTACAGTGTTTGTTGTTGGGAAGCTGTCTGTGGAACACGAAGAATTTAGTAAAGGAAGAAAAAAAAAAGTGCGCGACTGAATAAACAACCGAAAAGAGAACCACTTAGAATCAATGCATGCGACTGCAAATGTATGAATCGTCTGCTCATACGGAATTAATTGATTCGTGCTATCTGATATGCGCTTTTTCTAAAATCAATAGATGCATAGAGTTTGTGCTTAGGTAGTTCTTCGAATTTCCGATTCGTTGGAAATGAATATCTTTCGAAGGTTATAATTCAGCCATTGTTTCGTGTTTGAATTTTCGTGGTTTCGGTTTCATTTCATTGAAGCGGATCCATGGCGTAGTATCTCGATCAGGTGTTTTTTCTTTCATTTTCTTTTTCTGAACATCAACACATTTCAGAGACGCGTTCATTGCGAACATCGTCACACTGATACTGCTTTTCCCGTATAAAGTGAAGTGAAGGTATAAAATCTGTTGTAATTGTAGTTTGTTGAATATCTCAATAACCTATCTTTTCGCACTACCGCATGGTTTCTATCCCTTGCCGATGATAGCGTCAATTTGATTGCAATTTATTACATTTCCTACCACAAGATATTGCACTGATTTTTGCTCTGTCCACAATCATAGTTAGGCCGTTTTCGAATCACAGAGCTGTTTGCTTGGATAATATGCTTCTTTTCTTTCTGACTACCTGTAGTTCATATGTAGATGTTGTGTGTTCTTGCCTCTGAAAGCATTCTTTTGCACTGTATTACAACGATTTTTATCTTTTACGTGACAAAAAAAGAACAAACACTTTGCTCGTGTTCTAGGACGAGAAGACATGGTAGGCATTCAGCGATAACAATGTTACTACTTCGTATGGAAAAGCGTGATAGTACGCGAGATTCGTCCGATCGCGATAGGTACAATGAAACGAAAGTAGCTCTCTTCTGATTGTTGAAGCAGCTTTACGCAATTTGATTGTGATGTACGTGATTGCGGCCGAAGTAGTCGAATTTACTTAAACAGCGGCTATACGTTACTTTATAAGCGTAGATTGCCACTATTGTGTAGTAAATTGTGTATGTGGGCCTTCATTATGAGCTTATTCCTGTGGAAGCTTTGTTTCTCCAGTGTCACGGTTCAGACTGTGGGTATTTACTTGCTAACTGAAGTGGCATAACTACAGTGGCGCCGATATATTTGCAAAACTAGAACTTCAAGCTAGATCGAACCCGCTATTACCTATTCCGAGGTCTCACTGTTACCCACTTCACCACTAAGACCCTCGTTCTGCTTTTCTGTCAGCCATTATGGTTATGTTTCACATAATTCTCTGTTGTGAAAAGTTAATGGGCAGTGGATAAAAGTTACACGTTCTACTAGTACATCTCACCACTGACATCTTTACATATATTTATAGAAGTTCTGAGATATTTCTAGTATTATTTTAAAGAACCGAGTCATCAAACTGTTACAAGAATTTTTTTATTACCGCTTTCACATTTGGACAAGGAGGCATGGTTGATTTTAGCAGGGTTCTAGGGAATAAAGTAGTACTTTACGCCTTACCAGGCCACTATGTTAAATGTTTAGACTACTAAAGGCCTTCAATTTTGTTCATACAGTACTTTGTTCTAGACTTTAAACGTAGTATTTCGTCTTGTTTTCTATAATGTCGGGGTTTGAGAAGCAGCTCGTCATCGATTATCCTCTCAATAGTGTTAACACGTTCTTAGGAGTTTAGTTGTCATCACCACAGCGAATAATCTCGCCATTCATAGTTAGAGCAGTGGAATTTTGATGTATGCAGCAATGGTACCGTTTAAAGTATAACTGTAGTTTCTTGTGGTCATATGACTTTCTCTTCTGTTTCGAGGCGTTTCCCTTAGATATTGCTGTACTTACGATGGAGTACTCATCACACTACCACCCAGTCTGATGTTGACACTGGAAAAACTGGCTTCCATGACCATATTTAACGTAAATTATCGTTCGTTTTATGCACCGTGTCGTGTATGTTCGAGTATTCGTTTTTGGTGACGTCGTTTTGTGTGTACTGTGTTGCTTTACGAACAATATCCTTTTGGTACGTACGCCATTGTTGTGTGGAGGTAAGTTTACAAATGGTAATCAAGGCGATTTATTGTTACATCCAACCCGTAAGTCTATTAAGATATACACTTTCGTGCTACATTGACTCATTATTTTTTAATACTGCACTCAATATGGAGTGATTGTGATGTGATTAGTTTGCATTGATCATAAAATCACCCACAATCTTAACAAGACCCTTCACTAGCCTTACATATTCTAACTGAAGTTGTTAGAACATATCCATATTTCCAAACAAGATGACGTTTATATTAATTTCTTTGGAGAGTAGTAAACGGGAGTAAAAGTTATATTTTCAAGCTGTTCCTTCGGCGGCGCTTTATGTCAAGATACTATGGCTTGGCTGTTAAATCGTCCTGACTGCTGTTTGTTGTAATGTCACACAAGTACTCTTCAGGAGCTGTGTCGTTCATTTTTCCTCTTATTTCTATTGTAAAAGCGAAAGTCGTAATTTCAGACGCGGTGGAGTGCGGCCACGTCAAGCACTTCTTTCTGGCCTCTCTCAGTGGGCTCCCACAGCAATGACAAGTCGAGCTCCTGGATCGACTTCGGCTTCGGCAAGTACAACGAACTCGCAAGGTGTCCTTATGGTTGGACCGAACTTTAAGGTTTGTTCCCACCCTCTATGGTTGTTCTTCATATTGTTGTATTCTAGTTATTTTTTCCACTTTGTAAATGATTTCACACCGTTACCCCTTGCTTTGACTATTCTTTGTAGTTGCTTCATGTATCTTTTTACCAGGTCGGTAAGAAGATTGGTTGTGGAAATTTTGGAGAATTGCGTCTTGGAAAGAACCTGTACAATAATGAACATGTAGCTATTAAACTGGAGCCAATGAAGAGTAAAGCACCTCAGCTTCATTTGGAATATAGATTTTACAAGCTTCTTGGACAATCAGGTATGCGTCGGCACCTATCATAGTGTTGCTTCGAATTTAATTTACTCTTGTTGTATTCATTGCTATATTTTTTTTGTACGTGTTTTAAGAAGGGTTACCACAAGTGCACTATTTTGGACCTTGTGGGAAGTATAACGCATTAGTGATGGAGTTACTTGGACATTCTCTGGAAGATCTTTTCGATCTGTGTGATCGACACTTCTCACTGAAGACGGTAGCAATGGTAGCAATGCAACTGGTATGATTGTCTTGTTTTTTGTTGTATATGATAGGTTTTGGACAGTTTAGCAGCATATTTTATTCTTTTTCTTATCTGCCTTTGTGTATCCCGTTATTTTTTGTCGGAGATCGTTTCCAGTAGCCTATGCCATTACGTCAGCTGAAGAAAATTTCTTTTTGTTTTCCGTATTTATGTGTTTGAATTCAATTTGATACCAATCTATTAGATGAGGGGAATTTGTTGGCAAGAAAATAGTATAGCGTATAAACTAAAGGAAATTCTTAACCTTTTTATTTACTGCCTTTTTCTTTTTAATGGCAGGGCATGTTGCGAAATATAACTCGTATATAATGCTGAGATATTTGCAAAACTCCGGATTGCTGATGGCAAGAAGATCGATAGAACTAGCTGAGAGACAGGCAAAACGAAGGACCCAGATGGTGTGGTGGTGAAGTGTGCTGCTCCCCGGTAAGGACAAAAGCGCGGGTTCGTTCCTCACCCCATACACCTGCGGTATGGAGTTTTGCAAATATCTCAGCATTATATAAAGGAAATTCCTTAAATGTTGCGTGAAATTGCTTGTCAGTTTAACCAGACCTGTCTAAGCAACATAAATTTGTCGTGGCAGTTTTTGTATCGATTTTTCAGCATTTTTAAAGGTGTTGAAGGGACTCGTCTGGTATGAATGTAGTAACTTGTGTGTCCCGATAGCAGCGAGTAACCTTTACGACGCCTTGTTGAAGTTGTTCTGTTTATCGCTTCCAGTTGAACTTTCCGAGGAGATTGATTTCATACACTTCAGTCCATCACAATTGTTTTCCATGAACCGTAGATTAGATAAATGTTTTCGCCCTTCATAATGCCATTTTTCTCCGGCCTTTAGAATAAGCGTCGAACTCATTTATACTAACTTGAACTGTTTATACCACCACCAACTTTCTTCATATCTGTGATTTCCTTGTAACCAGGCGTCGTGGTTATTGAAATAATGTAGATAAAACCAATGAACAAAATGTGACTGCATTTATTCAAAAGAGAATTCGAGCCATCGGCAAAATCATGTATCAATTTATGTTTTCTGGAATGTGATCACAACAGACAGATAGGACATTGTGGAAGTCTCATTTTTTAAATGTATGCATGGGTTTTCGGATTTCGTTCTGTCTTCCGAAGTGCAGGGACTAAAGTCGGAAGTGCTGACAGACTATTTCCTATAGAGCTTCGGTTCTGAAAGGTGTATGCGACAGATTGCACCTTCTATCAAACTATTGCAACTTCCATGTGTTGTTTTTGGGGGACGATAAGTCCTTTTCGAGTCCTATTCAATTTAACTCCGTTTTTTCTTGACTAGTGTTTTGTTGCGCCCCAAACTTCCTTTTTTTAGATTCGACGGATAGAATACGTGCATACAAAGCATCTTATCTATCGGGATGTAAAACCAGAAAATTTCCTCATAGGGCGATATTCAACCAGGAAGCAACATGTTCTTCATATCATAGATTTCGGCCTAGCGAAAGAATATATCGATTGTGACACTGGTATGTTTCATGTTTGTGTATTCATTCTGTTTCCATGTTTCTTCTCTATTTTATGTGTTTCTCATAAAAGTTACCATTGATTAGTACATGTGTAAGAATTGCTATTTTATCAGTAACCCGCTTTTCAATACTACATTTGATATGCTTGAATATGAGATCCAATGTTATGTAATCCTCAGGGAATATTTCACGGCTTCTATTCACACTAGAAATTAGTGAGAGAGTGAAATTTTCTGATATAATAACGTATGGTTATGATAGGAACAGTGGCTAAGTTCCCAGACCCCTTGCAAAGTTTTTTTTTGCAAGTCAACTAGTTAATATCGGGTGATTTTTCTGTTTCTCCTTTATTTGTACATGTGTTTAGGAAAGCACATTCCTTACCGAGAACACAAATCTTTGACGGGGACGGCACGATACATGTCTATTAATACGCATCTTGGAAAGGAGCAATCAAGACGGGATGATTTAGAAGCTCTCGGACATATGTTCATGTATTTTCTTAGGGGAAGTTTACCATGGCAAGGGTTAAAGGTAAGGGATTCTTAAAGCACTTCTAACTAAGTTTTGTTTCTAGACATTATATTTTAACGTGGTCGAATTGATGTCTTTTAAGGCAGACACATTAAAGGAGAGGTATCAAAAAATTGGGGATACTAAAAGACAAACCGCTGTTGAAGTTCTTTGTGAAGGATTTCCAGGTATACTTTGATTCTATTCACAGTAACAATCTATGTTATCATTTCGTATTTTTAGAAGAGTTTGCCCAGTATCTCCGTTATTCTCGCCGGCTCGATTTCTTTGAGACACCTGACTACGACTACTGTTATAATTTATTCAAAGCTGTTCTTGATCGACTAGGAGCCAGTTACGACTACGAATTTGATTGGACGCCGAAGCTTAATAACGTGGTACCGTCCATTTTTGACGTTTTTCCGATCGCACACTATATCAGATTATTTTCCTTTTCTTCCAGTCTACTCCTTCGGGTTCACTACATACTGCAGAAGCCAAAGAGAGCAAAAGGGGTTTGTTCTTCTGTTGTAAATTATCTTTTTTTCAGTACTGTTGCAGATAATTCGCATCACAAGAAATTTTATTTTATTTTCGTGATTTTTAGAGCGAACAGAAGCTCTCAAGCCAAATCACGCATCGGCTCATCCTTTTGGATCGACACAGGTGAGCAGCGTACGTAGTGTTTTGGTGATTTGGCCATCACACATATGAAGAAATATCTGGTATCTGTGTTCTTCAACGGCCTGCTTTCTGCAAAACGATAGTAGTAGTACATACATTAAGCATATGAGAAGTCGATGTGTACTTATGCTATGTGTGTGGGAGAATTGGTGTAATTGTAGGTAATAAACTCAAATGCTGGTGATGTTGGCGATGATACGGGTGCAGGACGAGTTGGAGAGATGCGCCGACAGGAGGAGCAATCAGGCGAAGTGAAATGCTGTTGTTTCCGTCGACGTAGGAGAAAGCAGCAAACATCGGCCCAAGTCGCCCAAAAATAACGTTCGTGGTAATGGTTATAATGAGGCATCTCCTTTTTTGATCGCATTGGGTTTCTTCTGCTTTCTTTTTCTTTTCTTTTTCATAACTTGTCCATTTAAGCTCACTTGGAACCTCCGTAAGTATTTGGTCCGTGGTATTTTCTACTAATTTTCACATAATTTCATGTTTGTTATTCTTGAAGTTTTTACTCCGTGTGCTCTTCAATTTGTTTTGCATACGGTGAACCCGCGGTGTACTTGTGATTTCTTCTATGTTGTTTTATTTTATGTTGCTGATTATACGTTTTCACTACCTGATCGATCAGTGGTTTTTTTTTTGCAAAGCCCGTTACGTAACCCTCAACATTGTTACATTATTGTCTTTGTTTTCCGAAGTTATTTCACATTTGTTTGTAATGTGAGTTTAAATGGCGCTCAATACGAGTGTTTCTTATATTCTTTATTCTGTTTACTTTTAAATACCATAGGTTGTGTTTTTCTTTTGGACGTACATTATACCGTGTGTTCTATCCGTCGCCTTATTATGTCTAGCTTTGAAATAGTTCCCCTTTTCATCTAAAGTATTATCTTCGTCTCTTTTCTCCATAAAAAACCAAGGCAATTGGAAGCTCATATGGCGTGTTGTTTTTCTAGTAACATGCATGAATACCGTTTTTCAAGCCATAGTTTGCATCTTGTAAATTTCGAAACTGTCGATTATAGTAAGCTAGGGATAGCTGCCACTGCTCTATTGAGCGTAAATCTGAATTTCCATTCTTTTACTGTTTGAATGTAAGTGAGGATTTTGTAAATTTATAGTGGTTCATCACATTTTTTTAAAAGATGGGCAATAAATATTGAATAACTGTTGCGTAGGACGTGAACAGTGCTGTGTGGTGTTTTCAACAATACTACCTCTAGAGAAGTACCACCTGAAGTGTTAACTGCTTGAGATTTGGATTCAGATGTTTCATACGCCAGTTAAAGCACTGAATCCAGTTGACACGAAGCTTCCTGATCATGTCGTTAAGGTGGAGATTACAATTCGACGTCCCCTATTGTTTGAATGACAGTGAATGCTTACTGGTTTCAATCTCATACTGTTTTGGATGGTCACGTCATGATAAGGGTGCGTGTGGCGCAGTGGTTGGAGGTGCCGTGCAACATATGTGGAATCGATCCCTGTGCCCATGGCCCACTAAGTCTTCCATCCCTCTGGGGTGGGTCGATTGGTACCAGACTTGTCTGTGAGGATGGCAGCGCTGGTTCCATACATCGGTAGGCCATCGTTAGTTATTGTAAAGGTCAAATATGCATTCAATCACTTCGGAAGGATGCTTAGTGGAGTAGGATGCATTGCGCATCCCTCTGGGATTGATCAACGGCGGGAGCATTATCCTTTATTTATCCGCGTCATGATCTAAACGCCGGTATTATCTCCCTTTGGTTCACAATACTGGTGACGACCTGGGGCTGACTTTGGCCTGGATGATCTCGGGACTTCAGGGAACCATATTGGCTAGATCAGCAAAACGCGGGAACAACGGGAATTATGCTGGAGCCCATACAACTAGTAAACGCGGGCCATCGAAGTAGCCAAGTAAGTAATGTTATGAGTGGATAATTTTTGGCTACTTATTCCTGTATTACAATTTCTGGAGATCAAAGAAGAACAACCTGGGAGCTTTAATAGCTCTTCATGAATGGAGTAGAATATGGAAGGGTTCGGTGTTGATCAATCTTCTGGGATGCGTTATGCATTCGACTCCATTCGTAGTGTCTTAGAGGTAACTGTGTGCATATTTCGGCTGTGCAGTGACTTAGGGTGGTCTAGAAATATAGCAAGTAAGTGTTTTTATCCTCCCAAATAGTTTCCGTATTAGCCTCCCGACCATCAAGAGGTGGTAGCTTGTTGAGCCGTGGGCGAGGAGTCGAACCAATCCATGTTACAGGGCAGCATTATCAATTGACCTTTACTCGCCTAATCTGAAGAAGGAAGATCTGACTCCAGAATTCGATCATTCGTCTCGGAATTTTAGAAATTTTTTAGAGAACTTGAAACTGAAAATAACACTCGAAATGTAGCAAATAGAATGATGCATGAAAGAAATCGTTAAAGAAAGCATGTGGTTTGCAAAGGTAAGTGTCATAATAGAGAAGGAATATACAGTTTTTTGCTCAGGAAGCATGCATGGAAAGGATAAGGTTTTAAGATTAGGTAGATTCTTCACAGAAATATGAGTTAATTGAAGGAAAACTTTGATTTCAGGGTGCGGTGATTGTCGATGAACATATTGGACAGTGGAATCCAAACGTCGTTCTTGAGGCTAATGGACCTATGTCGACATTTATTGTTATTGATAAAAAGGTTCGATTTGTTGGATTATCTGTTCTCCAGATGAAAATGACCTTCTACTGTAGTTGAAGTCTTTTTGTTTGAATAGTCTGGAGACGTCAATGAAGTGATTAAACACGTGGTTTATGACTTAAAACTACCTCATGGAGAGAGCTACGGACTGATTTTTGAAGAACCGAAAGGATTTCTCACTCCTACGAACTTGGACCGTGTTAATCACGGATTTATGCTCACCGTGACCGCTGGAGCAGTAAGTTCCTGTTTCTTTAAGTCTTTAACTGCTTTAAGGTGATAATTTAGCACAAATAAAGCTTGCAGAAACATTACGTTGAGCATATCAATTGTACTCTTGCATCTCGGACCGACTTTGATAGCATGGAACGGGCCCTTATTGTTCTTGAATCATTCTCTTCGGTATGGAACTTTACATCTTTTGCTTTTACTTACTGTTTTCACAATTTACTTTCGCATCTTAGCAGCGGTGTAATCAAGTAAAATTTTATAAACCTTTTATAATGGCGTCTCTTGCCTTTGATAAGGGCAGCGTTCACGACACCAGTCTTTCACGGGTTATTAGGTTCTTGTAATCAGGTTACTGACTTTCACGACTAGATAGTCCAAGTTATTTATTATATATGTTCCATGTCTTATACGCATATGTATATATATATGTATATATATATATATATATATCATTGTCCAGAGTCCTCCACGCAAGGGATTTCGTCGGGTTTAATTTCAGGCTGTCTTTATGCCAGTGGTCGTTGGTATCATATATCGGAGAAATCGATTCCACATACGTTGTCACCGTTTCTGCTTTGGGTAGTTTCTCAGACCTATTGATAGATCATTTTGTAGTTCTCTTTCTGAAGCAGGAGAACTTTCTTGGGGACCTCACCTTCATACACTGGGGCGTTGATTTTTACATTAGAATGACCTCATTACAGAACTGTGAATTAGTGGGAATTCTTTTCCTTCGGAATTGTTTCAATACAAGAGAGAGCTGCTGGCTGTCGCTGAGATTTTTCGAAAACTGAAAACAACAAGAGTCCTGAGAGTCAAGAGTTTTTCCTTCTTGTTTGACTGCAAGAGCTGCGCGTTCCCCTAAAGTTTCTCTTTGATCAATTCAATCTCTTTATCAAAAAATAAGAAAGCTATTCGAGACATCAATGGCGTTAAAGTTGACCTCAAAATTTCTCATAATCCTGTTCTTCAAAGACATTAATAAATGGAAAGTATAGGAACAAACCAGGATGAGTTGCTGTTTCAGGATCCTTATTTTGTTGCCTGTTTCTGCTCGTTGTCTAGTATCCAGTTGTTATATGATCTTCTCGCCGATGAAAATATTGAAAGGTATGCTCTTGTCAATTGTTCCGCTTACAGTTTTCCATATTTTAGTAATCGTTCCAGTAGTCAATCATGTCTGAATCTGTGTCTCCGTTCGTTACGATCGATTCTTCAGTTAGAAGTAAATGGTATTACTTGGAGTAGTGCTTCTGCTATTCTGGTGAGCAAACTAGCTACACTTGTTACGGGTGAGTTCTTTCTTCATTCACTTTTCTGGTGGCTGGGATTTTGAGGCTCGTTTTTCTGCTCAGGAAGAGCTAAACGGGAGGATTCGAATGTGGTTTTGATTGCGCTGAATATGATTGAGCAACTCCTTGTTAATGGCAGGTAGGACCTTCTCCTCTGTTTTCTGTTAACTTCTACTTTGTTAAAAAGCTTTGTCTGGTGTTTTTCCGTTTAAATCTTATTTTTTAGCCTCCAAATAATCCGTTATGTTAAACACATCAACTCCTCTGTTTGTTGTTGTTTTTAGCACCACAATTCGTTCACTTGTTCTCGATGAAGTTCCTCCACAATCTTTGATTCGTCATTTGGAAAAGTCAGACGAAAGAGTGGCTCTGGCTGCGTTGTCTCTGATGAACGCCCTGCATGACAAAAGTGATGAGCCCAGTCGAGAACAAATAGTTAAGGTGAGCTTGTGGAAATGTTGAATATGTAGCAGTTAGGCCAATGCACTAGAATATAGTAGCTGTTAGTAGGGAATTAGGTCTTCGAGTCAGTTCTCGACAACGAGTAATCACTAGCTTGAAGTGGAATGCTCGACTTCGTAGAAAGTTGCCATGCAGGACTTTTTCGACGTCGTCACGGGGCAATATTTAGAACTTGGACAGTTATACCTTCATAGCAACAACATTGCGAGAATAGCGATATGATAGCATGGTCAATAGGTAGCGGTGAAACTTGTTGATAAGAGGAAGTTTCGAAGTGAGATAGCAGCTTAACCATAAACTGGTATAGCAGTGTGATGTATGTGCATGTTTGATATAAAATACATCAGTATTGATCAGCACATCAGAGGACTCATGTGTGGTTGTAAACCCTAACTTATAACGACAGTACGGGGTATGGTTACACACTACATGTGGGCTTTTGATGATAACATTCCAGTGAGGTTAATCTATTAAGGAATACATGTTAGCTTTTGAAGACATTGGCTTATGATGACCGCATAATGGGGTTCTACATGTACGGCAGTGATTACGTGCCATACCTCTCCGCGTTATACGGACTATGACAAAGAAGAAGTCGAACCGTTCTATATGGACTTAAAGTTCTACAGAGAAGACCAAATATTCTTCAAGGTCATCATTGGAGATTTCAACGCCAAGATTGGACCAAGAAGAACGTCTGAAGAACGTCACATTGGGACCCATGGATTAGAATGGAACGAACAGGTTAGCGGCTGTCTGAGTTTATCATGGCGACCAAGACAACTTCATGGTTACTCGCAATTCCAGAAGCCCCACCCTCAGCGTTGGACGTGGGAGTCTCTTAATGGAGAGTACCATAACGAAGTAGACCACACCATAGTAAATAGAGGATTTTACCTAACCGATGTCGCTGTTCTCCCAAAATTCTACACGGGATCAGACCATCGTCTCCTTTGTGCAAGATTCTATTTCTCGCGGAGGGGAGAAAAGGCGCCAAATTCTAAAACCGAAGTCCCAGAACCACCGCATACTGGGACTTATTCAATTCATTAGTTGTTGGGAAGATGCCGTTGTCGGTAACATCGACGAAGAATACGATCGGCTCATTCAACATCTTCACGTTAGCGCTATGAAAGCTGAGAGTTCGAAAGTCACCAAGAGACGTTTGTCTCCAGAAGCAGTCGAGCTGATATGCCATCGTGGAATCGCACGAGCTGCAGGCAACCGCGAACTAACGTCCGACCTTGCAAAACAATGCAGACAGGCGATGAAAGAAGGTCTTAAAGAGAGAAAATCAGCAGTAATGGTCGAAGCTGCAGAGGCTGGGAAAAGCATTGGGAAAGCCCACCGAAGCTTCGCCAATTACAAGACCAAATGATTGCACTCCGGCGCTCCAGATAGGCAATGGAGAAAATCATTCACGAATACTACTAGGATATCTTCGATTACCGCGTCCACCTCTACTTATATGAAATCAAAGAGGATGGATATCTTGTACTACCGCTTCTCCCTTCCGAAATCCGACATGGCATTTCGTCGGTGAAAAATCGAACGGCACCAGGTCTGGACAGGGTAAGATCAGAACACCTGAAGAACCCTCTGCCAGTTCTTATAAGCACACTGGCTCAGCTCTTCACACGTTACCTGTCTCAATGCGAGGTCCCTACTCAGTGGAAGACCAGCAAGACCGTGTTATTGTTCAAGAAGGATGACCTACACGATATTGGCAACTATTGTTCAATCTGCTTACTCTCTGTCGTCTACAAACGTCTCACTCGAGTCATCCTAAACAGGATTAACAGAACACTGGACGAAGGACAGTCATGTGAGCAAGCAGGGTTTCGAAAAGGATTTAGTGCGATGTAGCAGATCCGCACGATAAGAAGGCTCACTGAAGTATCGCGAGAGTACAAGAGACCGCTCTGTCTCACTTTCATCGATCTAGAGAAGGCCTTTGACTCAATTGAGATTAAAGCAGTCATGGAAGCCCTTGATAGTCAAGGAGGCCCTACTCAGTACATATAGATTCTTCGTGAGTTTTACAAAAATTTCACAACCAAGGAATCACCGTTTTATTAACATTAACATTGACGCCAAAATAGGAGTTAGGCAAGGCGATACCATCACGTCAAAATTATTTACCGCTACCCTCCAGAACGTCATGCGAACATTGGAATGGGATAATATAGGAGTAAAAATCGATGGTTAGGTGTTACACCATCTTCGCTTTGCTGATAACATCGTTCTTATAACACCAAACATTAACCAGACGGAGCGTATGCTTGACGCCTTTGATAAAGCCTATGGAAAGATTGGTCTTCGACTAAATCTCACAAAAACGATGTTCATGAAGAACGGATTGGTTTCGCATTCCCCATTCACGCTCAACGGAACGAATATCTCCGAATGCTCTATTTATATCTATTTAGGTCGGGAAATCAATACGATGAACGATCTAGCTCCAGAGTTGAGCAGAAGGGAAGGAGCGGCTTGGAGTGCTCTCGAGAGCATGGAGGATGTAGTGAGGAGAACAAAGAACACCCGACTCCGTGCTCACCTTTTCGACTCAACGGTCCTTCCTGCTCTAACACATGCGTCAGAAACCTGGTCGCTGCGTAAGCAGGATGAAACATCATTCAGCGTTATTGAACGCGCAGTCGAAAGGACGATGCTAGGAGTATCCCGATCCACACAAGTAAGGGATGGGATCCGAAGCTCCGCTCTGCGTCAGCGATCAAAAATCAAAGATGCTGTTCTGTACGCCAAACAGTCGAAGATAAGATGGGCCGGATACGTAATGCGTATGAATGACAACCGATGGACAGGAGCCGTTAGTGACTGGATTCCTCGGGATGTCAAACGTACTGCAGGAACACCACCGACGCGACGGTCAGAGTCTTTCACAAAGAGCCTTGAAGAAAGACATGTTACTCGACGAGACCCTAGAGCGAGCAGAACCCACCGTGATACTCTTGCACGCGACAGGGAAAAATGTAAGATTTACTGGCGCCCGCTCGTATCACTCGACGATGGACGGGGGTACAGGTGATACCTGTAGGCGTTGATCTATCCTTGAGTAATACGCCATGCGACTTCATTGAGCATCGTTGGTGGTGATTGAATGAATATATGGCCTTTACAATGACTCGCAGTGGCGTACCGACGTATCGAATCAGTGGTGCTATCCTCCTAGATAAGGTCTACTACCAATTTGCCAACCCCGGAGGAATGAAAGGCTTCGTGAGCCTGGGGCGCGGAAATCGATCCCATGTGTATTGCAGAGCGCCTCCGACCACTGTGTTACAGGCGATCACGTGCCATAGCGGTTAACAACTTGAACGACCTACATGGGGTAACGTATGAGATAGACAGGAGGACCGTAAGGGCCCTAACCAGACGAATAGGGTAGTGACTCACGAGATTGCTTGAAATGTGTTCTGGAGAAGGTGGTGCTTTCGTCGTGAGTTCCAGATTTCCCTGAGAACATTCCTCGGCTGTCGCTTATTCATTGTTCGTGAACACATCAAATGAAGGAAAGCGGCTCTTCCAAACAAATTTTTGCCATTCCTTTTATGGTATGCATGAGGACTTTGAACAAAGTAACACACAAAGAGCTCCACTCGCACAAGGAGTTAGGAAAACGAAAACTGTTTATTGCAAACAACGTTGCTCTGAATGAGACGAAAACATTTGCATGCTGTAGGATCGCTACGTTATATGTGGAATAGTGGATTTATTCATTAGTTGAGACGATTACTGTAGGAATATACGATTATTTGAAAGTAGCTTGTCAGGAAACGGTTGCTATAGGATAAAATTTTCCTTACTTATTAAACTATACTATATCTGTAATATTTGGATTTCTCATCAGGTAACACCGCATGAGGTTTATGGTTGGAGAATGTAATCATTAACCATTTTATAACTTTTCTTCACAGCATCTTGATTCCGTCCCGTTCCGAACCGCAATAAGTGGAACTGTTCTTCGAGAAGGTCGAGGATGCGATGCTGTTCTGCTCAGTCATCTCGTTCCTCTAGAACGATTATTAATTCAAGAACATACTAAACAATTACGAAGTCCTGTATTGGAAAATGAAGTAAACATGCTTCTTGTAAGTTTTTCTATGCACTTAGTTCAAATTTCGATGATAGGTTCTCTCAGGAATTATTTTAGAGCAGAGACGTAGTCCGTACTGCAGCTACGGGAGAGCTGCAACTCAACGAATGGGCGGAGCAACTTTTGACGACACCGTTCGGAAAATTTGCTACAAGCACATTCTCAAATTACGCTGAACAACATGCAGAAGATCTTCGCATTGTAAGTGAATTTCCTTTCCTTTCGTTCTTAGCAAATTTAATGTTTCCCGTAAATCAATGCGTTTCTCTTTTTTTCATGCAGTCCTTTTAATGGTGATGAATTTTTAGAGGTGTTACGAGGATTTTCTATCCCTTGAGTAACACTTTTTGATCAAGCGGCGTCAATATTTTACCCTTCCACGTTGCATATGGTTCGTATTCACTAGGGAAAAGCTTCATGGCTTTTGCATATTGATTTTTAACACTACATTGTTTCATTTCTATAAACAATTGCTAGCACAACATCTCGTCGATACCATTCAATTTATTTGTGAAAACCGAGCTTTTGAAACATCCTGGTGTTTTGCAAAGTCCATTATTTTTTTTATTCATTAGAACACGGTGTCGACAGATGTAACCTAAATGAATCAACACTATGATGGAACTGTATGGAAATGTAGAGCGTCGTTGCATTGCTGGTTTTTTGAGCTCGGTTTTTCATCAGTTTACTCCTTCTCGAAAACTGCGTTCACTCGGTGAACACCTGTAAGTGCAAGATATCTTGCTATTTCTGTAAAAAGAGGTATTTTATAGGTCGAAGAAGAATCATGCTGACCGTCAGGTTTCGGATTTTTACTCCATAGTTCTTTTGCTTCTTTTCCATCTTGTGAGTTCATAAAGTATATGGCAAAGTAATGTTTTTTGCCATCAGTAGGTATGCCGTCAGTGTTCTAAAAAATGGAGATGAGTTGTCAGTAATGTATTTAATTGAACTATATTGGTAATACCTGAAACCATAAACGTATATTTGTTGTATCGTTTGCTTTGATGAAGCCAAACGGTGGTTGGACTCGAAATATTACGGCTGAAGTGCACTTGACCTAGTAATACAAAACATATGATTCTGCAGAATTCTTCATATGATGGAGAAACAACAAGAACAGTTTTTTAATCATATATCATAATCCAATATCGGAAAGATTTCATTCCTCCAAGGAGCACCTTTGCTACCGGTCACAGTTTGCATTAGTAGCGCAGATTATGGGTGATCTGGTGAATAACCGCCACTACTGGATTACAATATTGCTATAATATGAATCATTCTGAGTTGAGTTTTACTGTACATGAAATCAGGATTGAATGGTTTTCGAACTACGGTACATCATACTTGATATCCACCTTATACCACTAGGAACGTTTTGTGTTTAGATGAATATGCGTCATATATTTGGAATCCAATAAAATTACTTAGATTATCTAATTGCTGTTGTCTTTCTTCAATTCGTTCTCGCTCACCTTGAACGTTTTATTCTCACTAGTTGGATTTTCTAGTTTGATATCACTCCATATGGGTTTTTTTTCAGATGGTACTTTGAACACCACATTACGTGGTCCTTCTTTCGCACTAAATTTACATATGTTTGGTTACTCTTAGAACATGGAGAGATTTTCCTTTATGAAAGTGGCTGTAACTTACTCCGCTTTTTGAACTACAATAGCCGTTGCTTTATGTTCATCACTTTTTTCCGCCTTCTTCTTATCCGCTGACTTCTTTTCTTTGCTACCACCTTCCTTCTCTTTCTTTTCGTCTTCACTATTTTCTTTCTCTTTCTTTTCTTTGTCGACCTTTTCCTTTGACTTATTTTTTCCGTCTTTCTCTTTTTCGTCACTGTCTTTTGCTTTTTTCTCTTTTTCATCACTTGCTTTCTCTTTTTTCTCTTTTTCGTCACTTGCTTTCTCTTTTTTCTCCTTTTCATCACTTGCTTTCTCTTTTTTCTCTTTTTCGTCACTTGCTTTCTCTTTTTTCTCCTTTTCATCACTTGCTTTCTCTTTTTTCTCCTTTTCATCACTTGCTTTCTCTTTTTTCTCTTTTTCGTCACTTGCTTTCTCTTTCTTGCCTTCTATTTTGTCGCCGGACTCCGGTATTCCTTCTTCCTCTTCTTGTTTTCCTTCATTTAGTTTGACTAGTTGCGTTTTTGCTTCTAGGTTGTCGTTTGCTTTGGCATCACTACCTTTTTCCTTAGCCATTTGGTTACCTCGAATGCGTAGGATTAGAGCTTGCCATTCATTTTGCAATTTTCGGCCGTATGTTTTTGAAATGAAGTGAGAACGAGGTATATTGAATTAGCAGTTAAACAGACGTTTGCAACTGATCCATAAATACTAGTCATCTTTTGATGTTAAACATGTTAATTTCATAGTAGCGCAGAATGTATAATGAAGGAAGACTGACCTTAGACCGTGTTCTTTGCACAAAGGAGTTGAATGAGAATTAGTTGTTTCGAATGTCTTTTTATGATCTCTTCAGTGTTATCAGTATCGCAATATCGTATGTGTTTTCAAAGTCACTTTGGAAGGTGATCATAACAAAAGTTGCGCTAGCTGGAGAGTAATTGGTGGTTGAATCATCATTTGATGGGTTTTCGAGACAGCGTATGCGTCTTCATCCGACTTTCGACATCTCAACGTATACAGTAACGTCTCTGGTTGCTCGAACCTCCGAATTTCTAATCAAATTGGCGTTCAATCGGATACTCCTCAATTACCTGACGGTGCTTCCTTTCGATAACACTCATTCTTCATTTCGTTTACGTAATGTGCAGAGCTCACAGGTGACCTTTAAGCCACAGTGAATCACAAATGAAAAGTGGAAGGGAAGGTTCTGGCGGCTTGCATTGTTCCACTGCTTCATTCCATTTTTCACGTTTTTTTTCTTTGAGAATTGCTCTAAGTGTTTTTGGGTGAAGTGTATTGCTTTGGCGAACTCTTTTCTTTTGGCCAATAATAGCGTCATTTCAGAATCGAAAAATTCAGGTCGTGAATTTGTTACACGTCTCAGAAAGGGTCTTTGTACGTTGAGCAAAGGTGTTTGGCTAACCTGTACCTCCATAGCTACTTCTGCTCTTAGTCGAAGGCCTTTATTTGGTCGTTATAAGTGGGGCAAGGAGGTTTCTTGTACTTTCGCGATACTTCAGATAGTTTGTTTACCATGTCAAAACAATATATCGTTCTGAACTATTCGAAGCCTCATAGCTATCCTTTTTCTAATGTCTTATTCATCGAGAAAGAAATGGTGGCTTTAAACGATAAGTAATAGAAACACAGAGCAACAGCTGCTGATGTGATAAAGATTTGTTTTCCTATGTGAGGTCCAAAGTTGAAGGCGACCATTATTTCGTCGTCATCATACCTAATGAAATCAATACTCATAATCGCGGATGTCTAAACAGAGAGAGTTTTATGCAGAAATAGTTTCGTTGTTCACTTCAAACGTATGGTTTGGTTTTTTTCTGTAGAAATGGTGTCGCACTTGATTTTATTATTTTTTTATTCGATTGAAAATGGACGATTTCTTACGACGATTTTAATATTTATTATTAAAATTAACATGGACATTTGTTTTTCAACTGAGTAGAAATTAAACGAAGCCCTCGTTGTCGAGCAATCCTTGAGGGGTATGCCATGCATTAGAGTTCATTAAGCATCGTCAGAGGTGGTTAAATGCAGTTCTGGCCTGTACGATGACGCATGGTGGCCTGCCGATGTATTCATTCAGTATTTTCATCCTTTTAGACAATTCTGATGCCAATTTACACACACCGGAAGGACGTATGGTTTGATGAATCTGAAGCGTGGAATCGGACCCATTTGTACTGCAGCGCACCGCTAAACACCGGGCTATACGCGCTCTCTTCAATGAGTGTGGTCATTTTTTCTTGAGATTTTTGGTATGGGTGCAGGCCAATGACGTCGTAGTGAAGTTATTTTTCGGAGTTGTAAACTATTTGTATGCAAAGAGAGGTGGAGAGTGGGATAAATTTTGGAATGGGATTAGATAGGTGATTAAAAAGGACCGGAAAAAAAGAAGTGGGAAGTGCAAACGTTTATATACGGTAATTTTTTGTGTCGATATGATCTATATGGTTACATTTCCGCGTACTTCAGTTGATGGTTTGTGAAATGAGTTTGCCAAGAACTTCTACTTTTTTTCTTAGCTTTTTCTTCACGTTCTAGAGAACGACATTTAAGTGTAGAAAGTGATTTCTACTTCGCTAAAGCGATCAAGTGAATGTCGATGCTGGGAGACTAACGAACTTTATTTTCAGTTTGTAGAGAACACTTGAAATGTTGTGAAATTGTCAAAATGTCGAATGCTTCACTAAATGTAAATTATTTTTTGTAGTTGGTTTCCGAGAATTCGATGCGTGTTAGTGGAGCAGCATGGCAACTGATACCCGTATGGTTCCATTGTATCTCAATTGTTGCCACCATTCTCGGCGTTATACCCAATGGTAAGGGTTTCTCCACCTTAAAAGTGGTAACTTTTGAGAGTTTTTCAGATTAACGGTGAAGCATATTTGTAGAGAGCCGTAGTTCTATTGAGTTATTAATCTTTTCTGATGCTTATAGATGAGGATTGTGTGGAGAAATTGATCGAGTTACTTTTTCGTTGTGATAAAGCATTCGATTCTCTCTTTGCCACTACCGTTCAACTTTTTCATCGTACATGGCGAGAAATGCATGCTTCGCGTGATGAACATGAAAAGGTGCATTCTTCTTTATATACTGTTATCTTTTTTTCAAAAATACGTTTTGCTTTGTAGTGATGTGTTTTAATGACACAGTATAACGCTAATCCGCCAATTCAAAACAGGTCATTTTGGCAATGTTTTAGTCAGGGTTCGGTTTTCCGAACGCAGAGGATTCGAAATTAATGTTGGCAGTGATTGGGTTATGCCAAAATCGGTTGTGATAAATATCTTATTACATTATAATTTAAAGGGCGTTACCACAAATATGCTAGTGAGCATCACACATACCGTTGTCATCTTTTTGTTGGGTATAAATTTTTCGTAAACTGTTGGATGTTTAGTGACCGAACCAGTGTTTTTCGAAATACCTAAACTAATACATATTTGGTCCCCATCGGCAATATTGACGTGGCTGACCCTTGAGAAAGTATGCCAGTCCATGGTAAACAAGGGTTGGTGGAGTATGATGGATTCTAGTCACAGTTTGACTAGAACTTATAATAGGTTAAATGGAGGTTATTCTCGCAAAGAAACCGAACCCTATTCCTGTCTAAACCGTGTTAGAGGTAAGTACATAGGGGAAATAGAGTTAGTTCTTTATGGTGTTAAGCTTAGCACCTTGTTCTATTTATGGTGTGTCAGGTTGCCAATGTGGTTCACGAGCAGCTTCGTCGTGCTGCAAGTCACCGTCCAACCAATATAGATATGCTAGAGGAGCTGCTATTAGCACTGCCATACTGGAAAGTCAAGGAGCTGTGGAAGCGGGAACTGATTGAAAAAGAAAATAATCAGATGAACAGCGAAGTAGTTAGGTTAGTTTTCACGGCTTTTATGTCAAGTTTTTTCTTTATTAACATGTATTTGTTGTAATTCTGACTGAAAGAAAAGCAATGCAACCACACGATGTCGTATCCCTTTTTCTTCTACATGTTCTATTTAGCGAGCTACGAAATCTTCTAAAGCCATCTATCGAACAGCTTATCCGCATAAATCGAAAAAATATCTTAAAGCAAGGTTTTACATTTAGACGTCAAGTTAAGGGTAAAACACCGCATAAAGGCGAAGGTGAGAATATTTCGTTTCTTATCTTGTTAGAGTTATATATCTCATTACATAAACGTTTGGCAGTAAAACTTCATGTGTTTCCCTCTAACTAGAGAGGCACTAAAGGCTAGTAAATATTTAAAATCTGTGCAAGTGTTGGTTGTTTGGAAAACAAATCTCTCCAAAAGTAGGCTTTCTAATTTCTTAGAAAATAAACTGAAGACAAAATTGTGGCTCGGAATTTCGTGCATTTCCGGCTGTAATTATTTTCGAACTCTGAATGTGTTCAGATTTCCTCTATGCTTAGTTTTGTTGTTTTTCAGATCAGTATTGTTTTTGGAAACTAGATGCATCAGAAGTGTTGTGCCTCACGGAAACCGATGTTGACCCTTATGTTGAAGGAGTGTCACACGTTGGCAATATTAAGAAGGGTTAGGATTTCTGAGCTTTTTTTCGTTTCTGTCTATTTTCCTTGTATATCTTCTTTCTTAGTGCCACGAAAGTTCACAGCTAAACGCCCATGGTCACATACTTTCACGCAGAAACCGTCTAACTTCTTAGTTTTCTGAAACCGATTGATCCGTTGGTATGAAACCCTTCCGTGATTAATGTACAGTAGGCTTACCTTACTATTACTACCTTAGCTTATTCATTAATGAAACATACATGTGACTGTGCATATCGGCGAAATCAACAATTGATTAAGATTGCTCCTTTCTAATTCCGTAATTACCGTATTTTATGATGTCCTGAAGAAGCCATGCCTTTCTTATTTCAGTCCCAATCAAGGATATTTCATCAGTAGATCGAGGAGAGGATATGACAGGTCGTAAAAGTGGAGGTCAATCAATGCGATGTATTCGTATCGTGTTACACAATGGAGATTCTATATGTGGGGCTACTTTCTCAGAAAGGATGCTGGCAGCATGGTTAGATGGTTTGTCAGATCTCGTTGGAGGCGGTCCACTCAGGTTAGTTTAGCTAAACAGACCCTGTGGTGACGAAGGACTATCACCCGTCAGAGTGGTTTACATGTTCGATTCTAGATTACTGCATAACATGCCTATAACAATATGGCAATTTTTGTTTTCTTTAACCATGGTTGCTTATGCCTACAATTCCTTAGGAGCTTATTGAATCTGAAATTCAAAAGTGATAAATGATGGATGAAAATGTTGCGTATTTCCCAAAAATGCACAATTGTCGCCATTTCAGGGTCGCTTTATTTTACCGTTTTTAAGCCTGAAAAATTTCTTTCGTGTATTTATAACTTGGAGATAGATATTAGAGATATTTTCATTTTCCCTTTATAATTTTCTCAATCACAAGGAATTCTTCACCGTAGGTGGCCAAGAATTACAATTATTTCTGAAAAATTTTCCCGATTGTTTAAATCTATTTTTTCTCAGTCATGATGCACAGACAACTGCCGATCGCCTGCTCAGCATCGAACTTCGTTTGCGATTAATGGATGTTCCAAATCCGCAATTATCTTGTGAGGTGCCTCCTCTGCCCGATGATTTCTCATGGGTGAAGCCAGTTTTCGAACATGATCTTGTTATATGAAGGCAGGTCGGATGCAAAATGAATCGAGGGAGTCTTTGTATGATTCCAACATTGGCATTGATGATTAAGTCATTGTGATCTTGATGAGGTGAGAAGAGATTAGTAAATCATTTATTGTACGCTGGATAGTCGTGTACTTGTTGAAAGAGGCAAGCCTGTTATCACATTGATGACCACGTGTACCGAAACGGGTGCACACCTGATCAGTATGTAGTGATTAGTTCCGTCGAATGTAATAGTTCGAGTCAGCTGTCAGCACCGAATATTCATCAGTTGGAGATAGGATGCTCGACTTCCTACGAATTTGCTTTTGAAATTCATCCGGAACCCTTCAAGAGTCTAGCTCGTTGACGTTTTTCATTCCTACGCTAGGTTCCTAAAAGTCACTTCAGAATAATCATCATCGTGCTTTTGTGCCCTATATGCACCTAGAGGAATACTTTTACGAATTTTATGTTTCCCATCCAGATGTTCTTTTTTGCGGATGCAAAGTGCTGAACCCGTTGGCTCAATTTATTCTTCACCGCATACGTTACATGAGGTTAAATATGTTGCACCTGAACTTATCCAATCCCCTTCTCTCCTTTTAGGATATATTAGAGAATTTCCGAGCTGTACAATTCAAGACTACTTCTTCTTAGGCAACTTTTAATCACGTAGCCTAGTTTGTTAGATATCAAAGGCGGCTTGAAATTTTTCTCGAAATCTTGGGATCTTACTTACATTTGGAATATTACGTTGAATACATGTTTTTGATAAGTACTTTTCCCATATGTGAAGAATGGGAGAAGAGGTACAAGGCACTAGTACATTTTTACTACCTGGTTTTCGATACCATTTTGTTATGAAGCCATTTTTAAAATCTTTGTCGGGATGTTTGAGATTGGAAACCAGTTCTCGGTAGGTTTTCTTTGCGTAAATTTTATATACATTCTCTGTTTAGCAATTCAAAGCACTTGTCCATCTGTTCCTGTGTGGAACAGACGATGAAGCAGTCACCTATATATCGACAGTTGTATCGATTAGTCAACAAATTTGAATGCTCATTTCTTCGTAATTGCCACGCTGGGCTTGTTATGAGTTCGTACCGAGGCAACCTCAAATTCGAGTAATTGATCCGTTTATAGAAATGGTAATGCAAGAATAACGGTATGCTAGCACCGAAACAACACCACTCGAGGCAAGCCATGGCCTCGGTTAGTGTCGCGGATAGCACGTTACTCCCCGGTAAGGGTAGTTGACGTTCCAACCGTTCCGAGTTTTTCTCATATCTCAGCTTCACTGTGGTTCTATCTCACATAACACTTTGGCGTGAAAAAATAATAGGTAGCAAATAAGAAGTTAAACATTGACAAACCAGTCGTCTATATACAGATAGTCAAGTAAGGACTGGTGCTCGAGACCTGAAGCTTCCACCTTAAAAGTGGCGGCAATAAATCAACTCAACGGTCTCACGAAGAATTTCCATTGTTTTCGACGTCCGCTATAGTAATGCTGTAGTGTTTCCTAAATCTTAGAGAAAGAGGTTTTATAACATTATGTCACCTGATCACTCTACTGACATCATCAACGGCTTTCGTAACGATTCGCTTTTCCAATTCGACAGAAAGCACAGGAGGCTTTACTAAATACTCTTCATCGTCAAGTCCTTCACTGTCATTCTCGATGAGAAGTTGAAGTTGTCATCGACTAACATAATGATAGATACGATTATGAAAGAATGTGAGGAACGAAAAGAGAAACCGACAAGGGAACATAGGATGACGATAACGTCACAGAAAAATGGGCGCCTGATATACCCGGCTCTTCTTAAATTGTTTTTAAGGGTGACGGAATAATGGTTCTGATTTTTCTGCTGGAAAATGAACGAAATCCCGCTCAGTAATGCGGCTGCCAATTTCTAGAATTAAAAGAATAAAAGGATAAAGCTCTTGGCATTGTTTAATCCCAGAGGTATGCGCCATGCATTAGACTTTATTAAGTATCGTTGGTGGTGATTGAATTCATATTTGGTCTTTACAATGACTCGCAGTGGCCCGCCAATGTATCGAGCCGGTGCTGCTATTTTCCCAGACAAGTCTGGTACCAATTTGCCGACCAGGAAGGATGGAAGGCTTTGTGGGCCATGGGCACGGGGATCGATTCCACATGTGTGTCGCAGTGGCGCCTCCAACCAGTGCGCTACACGCGCCCAAAGAGGACTTATTGATGGATATTTATTTCCACTTTATGTGATTCTGAAAACGATTACACCTTTCAACGAACATAATTCAGCTCATAATAAGCTTTACATTTTAAATAAAAGACTGTTAGAATCTACAGAATGTTGCTAACCAGGTATAAATTTTTTTTTATTCGACCAGAACAAGAAGTAATTTTTTATGAAAGTTTAGTATTTAGGTAAACTTGAAGTGAGAATGGCATTGTAGAAAATTTAATAATTTCCTTTGTGAGGCAACCTCGTGTTTGCTCATTGAACAAAATATAGTGAATTGTCGATCAGTACCGAGGTTAATAGAAGGTTGATTTTGGGAATTGCTACATAATGTGCCAGCAGAATATTTCCCACTCGTAAAAGATGTTCTGTTACTAAGACAAGAAATTGTCTTTGCTGGACAAACGATATTCTTTCTCTGTTACTGCCAAATATACCAAACCGAGCCGAGCTTCATCAAACGGAAGCGACTACATGATATATGCGGTCTACCAGAGGACAGCCAACAAGTACCCAACATCGAAACGCTGCTACTACGCGGCTGTCTTCGATGCAAGCAAGATAAATGTAAGGGCAACTGAGGAAGTGCGAGTCGGAGGAATCCTATTGTGTTCAGTATTCAGAGGAGAATAATCTGTGGGTCAATTTTGATTTGCGATTCTTTTAGGTCAAATACTAAAATAGTCTTAAGCAGAAACCTTAACCCTTTTACCCTTTACTACCTTTTTCTTTTTAATAGCAGGATATGTTGCGAAATATAACTCGTATATAATGCTGAGATATTTGCAAAACTCCGGACCGCAGGTGTATGCGGTGGAGAACGAACGCGCGCTATTGTCCTTACCGGGGAGTAGAGAAAAAGGTTAAGATTGTGGTTATAACTAAGCCTCAGCTTAACTGGGTTCAATGCTGATTTGGGCTCCCCAGATCAATCCCGTTGACGGGTGATTGCTGATGGCAAAAAGATCGATAGAACTAACTGAGAAACAGACAAAACGAAGGACCCGGATTGTGTGGTGGTGAAGTGCGTTGCTCCCCGGTGAGGACAAGAGCGCGGGTTCGTTCCTCACCGCATACACCTGCGGTCCGGAGTTTTACAAATATCTCAGCATTATATACGACTTAAGCAGAAAATTTGAAATTTTACTGCGCTATTCGCACAGATCAACTTCACTTAAACAAAGCAACAGCGTTTACGAAAGTGCTAAGGGTCAAACTGTGGTCAGGTAACGTGCCATAAAGTCAAGAGGCTCCTTGTTAGGAGGCATGACTCTTCCTTACGACGTGTTCTAGCTATTAGAATTGGGTCCAAGTTTCTCATCAGCGCAGCCC